GCTTCGGTCGTACTCTAAGAAGTGACTACGCTACAGAATATATGTCAGAGTTGTTTCAATCATATTTGAGGCAACATAGTATTCTCTACCAGTCTTCATGTGTTCATATGCCCTTTCAAAATGGAGTTGCTGAGAGGAAGAATAGACATCAACTTGAGACGGATAGGGCACTTTTATTCCATATGAAGGTTCCTAAACAATTTTGGGCAAATGCAGTCTCTACAGCTTGCTTTCTTATTAATCGCATGTCATTTATTGTGCGTGTTGGTAATACGCCTTATAATGTTCTTTTTCCTACTAAGTCACTACTTCAATGCAACCAAAGGTGTTTCAAAGCACATGTTATGTTTGAGATGTACGACCATCTATTACCAATCTAGATCCTAAGGCATTGAAATGTGTTTTTCTAGGCTATTTTAGCCTTCAAAAAGGGTATCGGTGTTATTCTACAGAACTTGGCAAATATCTTATGTCAATTAATGTGGTATTTTCAGAGACTACACCATTCTTCTATGCACCTCCTAATTCTACAAGTCCGGGGGGGCAAGATGATGGTTAGTCGATCAAGTCACTCGCGTTTTGACAAAACAATTTGATGTTGTTCCTTTCATCTCTCAATTCTCTTGTTGATCACTCCCCAATTGTTGTACCTTCACTACCTTCTCCATATGTGATAGCAAGACTGTCAATTGTTCAAGTCTACTCAAGGAAGCGAGAGATTGATGATACTTGTCATGAACCCATTCGGTCACTTGATCCTTTAGAAAATCTTGACCTCCCTATTGCTCTTTTCAAAGGTACGCGTACTTGCAAATCTACATATTTAATTATTAATTTTTTTTCCTATGATCATTTATCCTTTATGTCTAGATCTTTGATTACTTCTCTAGACTCCATCTCTGTACCCAAAACAGTGAAGGAGGCTTTGAATAATCCTGGATGGTCTAATCCAATGATTGATAAAATACATGCCTTAGAGGAAAATCACACGTGGGATTTGGTGGATTTATCGAAGGGAAAGAAGCCAGTGGGATGTAAGTGGGTCTTCACCGTTAAAGTTACTCCAGATGGTTCTGTAGCAAGGCTTAAGGCCAGGCTTATGGCTAAAGGGTATGCCCAGACATATGGGTAGATTATTCAAACACCTTCTCCCCAATTGCCAAACTCAATTTTGTTTGCTTTTTCATTTCTCTAGCTCTTTTTGAGAATTGGCCTTTGCATCAGTTAGATATCAAGAATGCATTCCTTCATGGTGATCTTCAAGAGAAAGTGTATATGGAGCAACCACCCAATTTTGTTGCTCAGGGGGAGTATGAGAAAGTTTGTCATTTGAAGAAGCTTATGTATGGTTTGAAGCAAAGTCCATGAGCTTGGCTTGGCATATTCAGTGAGGTAGTTCAAGATTTTGGGTTGAAAATGAGCAAATGTGATCACTCAATCTTCTCGGCAATAAACATTTGGCTCTATTCTCCTTGTTGTATATGTCGATGACATCATCACAGAAAGTGATTATGCGAGTGTTTCTTCCCTTAGGTCTTTCTTGCATACTAGATTTCAAATGAAGGATTCGAGCCCATTGAGATACTTTTTGGAGTAGAAGTAAATAGAAGCAAGAAGGGAATTTTCTATCTCTAAGAAGGTATATTCTTGACTTGCTTGCAGAAACTAGAAAGTTGGGAGCAAAACCTTGTAGTACTCCAATGGTTCCTAATGTACTCTTATGACAGATGATGATGATCCTTTTGATGATCTATTTAATGCTTTGTGAAACAAATAAGCGAGTTGATTACTTTTGTAACAAGCTTGGCATGATCAATATCCATGCTCCAACTTGAGGGAGAGTGTTACAGAATCAATTTACAGTTGTACAATCTTGTATATATGGTAGTCAAGCTGATTTGTAGGGATTTGATTATCTAGTTACCATAGTTAGTCAGTACTCTTCATGTATTTATATCACTGTAATCATTAAGCAATAAACAAGTTATTCTCTCCAAACCTTATCAATAACATAATAACTAAGTTTACATGTCCTAAAAAGGAAAGGAAATTATACAAATCAATACACTCATTCTAGAACCGGTAGGAACTTGGTTTGGTGAATATGTCTGCACACTAATCACTTGATCTTACGAACCTTGTAATGATGTCTCCTAAGAGCACATTTTCCCTGACAAAATGACAATCAATCTCTATGTGTATGGACCTCTCGTGAAACAATGCATTCGATGCAATGTGATGTGCAGATTCATTGTCGCACACAAGTTTATTCCCTTAGTATCTCTAAATTTCAACTCCTTGAATAGTTGTTTGATCCATATGAGTTCACATGTTGCCACCGGTATTCTGCTTCTTCACTAGATCTAGCAGCCACATTTTATTTCATACTTTTTAAAGAAACCAAATTTCCCCCAACTAGAACACAATATCCAAAAGTCGACTATCTGTCAAAGAGTGACCCTGCCCAATCAGTGAATATCCAACAATTTTCTCATGTCCTCGGTCTTCATGAAGTAGTCCATTCCCTGAAGGCTGAAGCAGATTTTGTGTAATAAAGAATGTGAATAACTGCATTTCAATGACAGTCACAAGGAGAATTCAAGAATTGACTTACAACACTAATCTGGAAAGTAATGTCAAGTCGGGTCACTACGTGATAATTCAACTTTCCTACCAGCCTTCTATATCTTCCATAATCTCTAAGAGGCTCCCCTTGACCAAGTAAGAGCTTAATATTTGAATCCATTTGAGAATCAATAGACTACAATCTGGTAATTCCCTCATCAGCATTACATGTGATAACTATGTCATCAACGTACACCACTAAATACATTCACAAATCTGGAGCAGTGTGACAATAGAGCACAAAATGATCACCTTCATTTCATATCATGCCAAACTTCTAAATAACCATGCTCGAGGAGACTGCTTTAGGCCATCAAGTGTTTTTCGTAGTCTACACACCATGTTACTAGACTCCCGTTGAGCAACAAAACCATGTTGTTGCTCTATATATACCTCATCTTCGAGATCTCCATGAAGAAAAGACATTTTTAATATCCAATTGGCAGAGAGGCCAATGACGAACAACAACCATGGATAAAACGAGACGGACAGAAGCAATCTTGGCCACTGGAGAGAAGATATCACCATAGTCAAGACCAAAATTTTTGTGTATAACCCTTGTCCACTAGGTGAGCTTTTAGGCAATCAATTTGTCCATCAAGACCAACATTCAATGTATATACCCAAAGACAACCAACTGTAGATTTATCTAGAGATAGTCCAGGAAGATGGAGTTAATGGAGTTACAGGATATGACATGGAAGGATAGACTGGTGGGATCCCAAAAGATAGGAACTAGTAAAACCTCAAAAATGCCTAATTATCAGCAGAAAAGGATGTAAAATACCATTTATAAAAGTAACATCAACAGGCATAAGGTATCGTTGAAGGACGGGTGAGAAGCATTGATATGCATTTTATACCTTCAATAACCAAGAAAAACACATTTAAGAGCACGTGGAACTAATTTGTCTTTTTCTGTTGTGAGCAAATAGACAAAGCATATGCTCCCAAAGACACATAGTGGAAGAGGTGGCTTAGCGTATGTTATTTGCAGATGACTTAGTACTGACTGATGAGACGCGCAATGGAGTTAATGTTAAGTTAGAAGTGTGGAGATAAATTTTGGAGACTAAGGATTCAGGTTGCGCAGGACCAAAACAAAGTATGCGGAGTGCAAATTCAATGATGCAATGCATGAGGTAGGCGTGGAAGTGAGGCTTGACACATGAAATATCTCTAAGAGACAAATTCAAGTATCTTGGGTTTATAATCAGGGGAGTGGGGATAGATGATATCACACATTGTATTGACAGTGTTGATGGAGTGAAGGCTTGCATCTAGATTCTTGTGTGATAAAAAGCTACCATCGAAACTCATAGGTAAGTTCTATAGAGTGGTGGTTAGACCGATATTGTTGTATGAGGCAGAGTGTTAGCCAGTCGTCCAGAAAATGCATGTTGCGTAAATGAGGATGTTGAGGTGGATGTGTGGTCATATTAGGAGCGATAAAGTTATAAATGAGGATATCCGAAGGAGGTGGGAATGGTCTTTGTGGTAGACAAGTTGAGGGAAGCGAGACTGAGATGATTTGGACATGTGAATAGGAGATGCATAGATGCACTTGTGACGAGGTGCAAGAGACTGGTTATAAAGGGTACGAGGAGAGGCAGAGGTAGGCCAAAGAAGTATTGAGGAGAGGTGATAAGACAGGATATGATGCAGCTACTGAGGACATGACCATAGAAAGAAAGGTGTAGAGGACGCGTATTAGGGTAGAAGGTTAGTAGGTAGTTTTAGTGTTGGCTTGTTTAGGGTGGTTGGTATTTATCATTGTTTATTATTCTTTTCAATAATCTATCCTAGTATGTTGTTTATTGTGTTTCAATTATCGCACTATTTTGTTGTTGTGTTTGCTCTCTTCCGGTAGACTTTGCATTGTTTCCTTGCTATTCGCTTTATTTTCTTCATTGTGTCCTTTATACCTGGATTTGTTGCACTTGAGTTGAGAGTCTTTCGGGAACATCCTCTCTACTTCCACGAAGTAGTAATAAGGTTTGCGTACATTTTACCATCCCCATACCCCACTTGTGGGATTTCACCGGGTATTTTCTTGTTGTTTTTCTTACAGAATATTCCCAGGATTCTAACATCCTCAATCATTTCACATTTTTTGCAAAAAACAGGATATCTTTGCACTCATCAATTTTAACATCATTCTTAATCCCTCCACTTGCTTCAAAAGCGCTAGTTAAATTGATTCCCCCACCATCTGTTACCACTTCCGCAACAGTGTGTCTCTCTGGTTCCACACAGGAAGCAGATGCAACAATGATTGATTACCACAATTTAGTTCACTAATATTGCTTTCTTTTTCTTGTTTGGATAAGTAGTTCATGAAGTCTTGAACTTCAATTAGATCAGGTATATCTCACCTAGTAAAGGCTGGTCCTCGTTGAACTTAGATGATGTTTTGATTTCATATTTGTGCTCCTCCTCAGTCGTTTGCAATTCCCAATTATCCTGGGCAACATGCTTTCTTTTCAATTTTTCAATCCTCGAAAGTTGTTCAGGTGTCAGGTTTATTCCTTGTGTATGTGTCAGCACATTTACCTGGAATATAGGTAGAAAATAGATAAATACATAGATGCAGCCTAACAATATAATAAGGACACACATAGTTCACCATGTAATATCCTCTGTCGAGAATACCACAGAGGAGGATATGAAAGCACTCTTCAAACTGAGAACAAACATTTCTTTTGGGGAGTGCAACAGAATTTACGACTGTCGATTCTCCAAGTCTCTAGCATATATCCAACCAAATTAGAGAACATAAAGTCACTTCAGTTCATGGGAGACATTTTCAGGATGTTCATTTTCTTTTTTGATGTGAGCAGTTTTTCCAACTTGACTTGTTTTTGCATTAGCTTGCATAAGTCTAAAGTTAAAGAGCGCTTGCAATAACCAAAAGCACGAATTGTCCATGTGTTCAAGAAAAAACTTAGTTGGGCATAATCCAGAGTCAACAGAGAAGAAAATATGCCCAAAGAAAAATAAAACAATTAAGTATACCGAATCAGACATATCAAAATGCAGCTTAGTCACAGAGTCCCCACGCCCCAGCTCCTCGGGAACTCCATAAGCAATATATGTTTTTGGTCTCGTGCCAGGCATCAAATACCCTGATGGCAGTTTGACAGCAAGATTCAGATAGCCATTTTGAGGATTTGTGTACTCCTTAAAGGGCAAGCTTCTAACAAACTCAGCACAGTGACGAGGTGACCGCTCATCGAAAAAATCAGATGAAGGCCAGTCTTTCAACTGCAAAATCTGGGGCCAGCCAGCACTATCAAACCGACCTTCCATGTATCCCATAAAAAATTGGCGGATGTTAACTTCAACCTGCAGTAATCAAAGGAAAAACAAAACGTTAAAATGGGTTAAGCTTAACAGCAAATAAATTATACTTAAGAAGGCTAAAAGGGCCAAAAGCTTTTGTGAAACACTGCACTTCACAGGCCAATTACAGGTCAAGTATACATTGCTACTTGGTCTGAAATTGCACATGTTGCTTAGTTGTCGCTAGTTGTGTACTTCATTAGCAAAAAGTATTTTTGAAGTGTATGTCCATCTCATCTAAAAACTTAAGTTGTTAAGAGAGAACACACTTATATTAACTTAATTATATTCTCAACACGCCCCTTCACATGCAGACCTGATTTTTTTCATGGGCCATGCATGAGGAACTCTTTTTTGATGATGTGTTGGTGAAATTCGATATCAGGACCTCTGTCTGCTTTTATATCATGTTGAATTGTGTGACCATCTCATCAAAAAGTTTAAGCCATTGCCCCCAAGGCCTAGCTCGAGTGGCAAAAGGTGGAGGATTTGTGACTTAGGTCGCAGGTTCTAGCCCCACACAGCGAAGCCCAGTATTTTAGTGGAGAAGGGTAAAGAGGCGGGCCCATTATCCACCGAGTTTAGAAGATTGGTCCAAAGGGTGGGTCACAAACGGATTTCTCGGTTATCAAAAAAAAAAGTTCAAGCCGTTAGAGAGAGCACACTTATATTTTCTCAATTATATTCTCAATAAATACTAACGCAACTAGATGTTTCCCTTCATACTACCTCAAATCCCATTGAGTTGATCTAGTTAATATTCACAAAGTCATCAACTTCATGCTTCATACCGCGAGCAACATGAATTATTTTTTAAGCACATTTTAAGTAAAGAATTGAGTGGTTAGTGGTGCTTCTCATGAAGTTTCAAAATGAAAATAAAGTTAATCAAGTCATGCTTACTGTACTAGCCCATAATAATGGGATAAAAGTAGTCTATCAATTTAATGGACTTGGAAAAACCTATAGTTGATGAAAGAGTAAGATGGTCATGCAGAATAAATAGAACTACCTACTCCATTAAACGCTGAACTAAATAGTAATTCATTAGTTCAAAAGATTAACAAAAAACAAAACAAATTATCCATCATAAAAAGAAGCACCAAGAGTACATATCTTGCGGTATGACGACATCAAAATGGATGTTTTAAAATCCCATCTGGCACTATAAAGTAGAACAATTAAGTTCCTTTGAGCTAAGCCATAGCGTTAAGGTTATAATCATCGCAATAAACTGTGAATCATGCATTAAGTGCTTAGATATTGATCTGAGCTATTAATTGATATGTATTTCGGTTTGCATCCAATTATACTGTCATCCAACCAGAGCTGACACAACAGTGATGGAGAGATTCCTCATAACTAAGATATTTATTGTCTAGCTAAACTTAAAGCAAGGAAAACCATGAATTGATGCCTCAGAAAGTACACTGCAACAGTAAATAGAGATAGGGATTACCAAGATGCATAAAATTACACCCTCTTTACCCCGGTATTTTCCTCCATGTATCATTGGGACAACTGGCAAGTATTAAACTTACCTCACACCAATCCAAGCAATTGATAGCGCTGACATTCAAATGAAGGGGATGGTTTGTGCTCTTTATCTGGCGACATGCTCACCACATAACCATGGGCTCCCAGCTTAACCCTGACATAGTCTCAAGCACATTACCGACAATTGAAGGCTCACCTTTCAGCCAATGACATTGGAAATGCTTCATATCCTCCTGTTGAAGATCCTTAGCTGCTGGACACTATAAATAATTGCCATCAGAATCTTCACGAAATGCTGCTTTACGCAATTTGCTTTTCTGCATATCATTTTCATCCATTGATTTCATACATAAGCATGACTCCTGAGGCATTTCATGCATGTATTCCAATTCAAGTTGTTGGAAATATCATCAGCCTCTTCCAACAACTCAGAGATAAGAGATTTTGACTTTGATGTCAGGCACTTCAGCTCTAAAACTCCCTTAACACAGCCACCAAAATTCTCTGGTGGACAAGGGATGCTACCATCTTCATTGCATTTCCATTCACCAGCAGGGTAACCAGAGTTCTCTGGGAGAAGCCCTCCATCATCCCCAGGTTCCATACCAAACGCAAACTTGGCATCTCCCACAGAATCATTGTCAACTATCTTCTTGGAAAATCTAGGCCTTCTGGAAATGGTAGTTCTGGCATCCAATCTCACATCACCATGCAAATAAGCAACCCCGTTGTCAGTGAGTTTCATGATGACTTCTTCTTCACCTCATTTATAAATACCATCTCTAAGATCTCGGCAACAAGTAAGGCAAAGAACATAGGAACAGCTGGAACAATTTCTGCGAAGATCAAAAATTGATGTTTTGCAGTTGTTGCTGCACCAAGCGTAGCTCATTTCAGTTTATTTGAACATTATCCAAAAAATTGACATGGAAAGAGGAGGTCTTTCATGCTTACCAGTGTATACGCTCACTCCTCCGGCACTTTGCCTTGGGAAGCATCAACTCTGACACGGGTACTCCTGCCCAAAATAAACAATGGAAATTCTAGTTACAATAGGAAGCAGCTGAAGATGTATTACACATTCGGTTTTTCTTGGAGGAAGTTGGTATCTCTCTACCTACTACAGGAAACTATTTTTTCTTATCTAGGAATATGTTATAACATTCTCCATTTAACATTTCAGATCCTTTTAAACTCGACCCCGACCATATATATGGCAGAGAAGAGCTATTTTACTATGTTCTCTAGCTGTGAAAATAGATATCACATAACAGAATCTTAAATGCATATTTATGGTTGCCCAAATGAAAAGAAAATGGCATATCAAATGAAAAATACATAGAACTGTTATGGTATCAAATTTTTATGCAAGATAATAGAACCTTGAATCTTAGCTTCAATCTCCATCTCCATCACTTGCTCTGTGTTGAATCTTCTCAAGAAAGGCAAAAGCTTTTGCACGATAAATTTAGAATATTGAATCTTTTCTTCTTTGCTAATCTCACAGTATAAGTTATTCAAAGCCTGCAAGAAAATTTCGATAAGAGTGTATTACATATATTGTTAACCTGCAAAATTGGACTGTAACTTAATATAAGTGGAATAACAAAAGAAACCAACCCTTATTGGCCCATCCAACCGCAAGCAAGCTTTGCAATTACAGTTTTGACGACAAGCAGGACAAGACTCTTCAAAAGCCACCTCAGGCATCCCAGGGTACCTATTATTAATCATAAAGGGAAAAAGGCACTCATGAGAATAAACAAAAAAAAACAACATGAAATGAATAATAATTGGTGTTGGAGTTGACAATATTAAGCAAAATAGATTGGATATATAAGCTTCAAGCAGTTAAAATGCTCATCATGTTTAGTATCTTATCAGTTGTCAAAATAAACAATATCTCATTAAGAGACAGACTTCTCAAATAAAGGCACAAGGAGAATAGTATTGTTTCTTGACAAGTTAATTTACAATTCAAAGATCAGAAAGTTACTCACATAAGAAAATACAACCAATAATATAGTTGGTAAAAGTTTTCAGTACCACGTGGTCATGCAAGGAACACAATATCGCTTTGTTTTACAACTGGTGCACCTAACAACCCTTCATTTGTCATTCCTCTGGCATTGATGACACATATTGGATGCAATCTCATTCCCCTGCCATATTTTAATTCAAAACAAGGATAATACTCGAGACAAATAAATTAAATGATCATTTTTTTTAATAAAATCATTCAGAATGTGAAAGATTTTTTTACCTTCCTGTTTCTGTTTCGAGGCTTTGATTCATTATCTTGCAGAGAATTGTCTTCCACTATCTCTTTTTCCTTTTCCTCCTGACCTCTACCCCCTTCCTCTGCAGATTCTCCACCATTCTCTACTCTGTAGCTTTCACTTACAGTTTTCTCTTGGTTTCCTTTCTTACTTTCAACATTTTCTCTTTTGTTCTTGCTACACTTCCGAGCTTGACCCCACTTTTTTGTACCTATATTGAGTTGTTCTTCTTCAGCCAAGACAGCAATTTCCTGCGGGTCGTCTTTCTTACTTTCAATATTTTCTCTCGTGTTCTTGTTACGCTTCTGAGCTTGACCCTTCTTTTTTAAAGCTGTATTGAGTTCTTTTTCGTTATAACAAGGAACAATTTCTTGCAGGTCATATTAAACATTTTCTTTTGTATTGTTGCGACGCTTCCGATCTTGCCCCTTCTTTTTCATACCTGTATTGAGTTCTTCTTCTTCATTATTTTTTCTTCTATGCTTCCTTCTTGAATTGTGGTCTTCTTCATCCAAGACAGCCATATATTTTGCAAATTCCTCAATATATCTGTTCGACTTCAGAGCTGATTTTTGCACTACTTTTTGGCGATCAGTCTTATAGGTTTCTCTACTCTGTTTTTCTGCAGCATTTTGCTTCACATTCTTTCTACAACGACCGCTCATTTTCACCGCCTAATCTTCTTTCGCTTTCACAATTGATTCACTACTCTTTCTGTTTTGCCAATCGACAAGTTAAGGTTTTGACGAAAAGGAGAGGGAAGAAGAAAGTTCAGAAATTGTACGAACCAAACAAGTAGGATTCATGAGTGAAGTTTCGGAGCACTGTGTTAAAGACAATTAAATTAAAGGTGTCAATTAAGTCTTGCTTTTATTTTTTGTGACACTTTCATTAAGAAAGGATCAAATTCATTTTAAAATGTAATTAAGTAAATTTGGGACCAAATTAATATTTTCAAAATTTTCTAATCTTTTATAAAATACAAAAAAACACTTTATTTTTCAACTTTTATAATTCTATCCAAACCATTTTTTTTAAAAAAGTAAAAGAAAATAGAATTTTCTCTTCTTCTTCTCCCATCGTTCTCTCTTCTCTTCTTCTTCTTTCTTAGAAAATTCGAAAATCCAACTATCAAAACAAGTATTCTCCCCCCATTATCTTATCTTCCTCCTCATCTCCGGCCGTGACTCTCTCCTCTTTGTGAACTGAAGATTGTGTTCGACTTACAATGGATAAGTCATTTTTTTGAAAGATTTTACAATTTTCGAACAATACTAAGTTTTTTTCTTGGGTTAATGAACAATAAAACGTTCTATAGATGTGAAAATTGAATAATGATGTAATGATACCTATTATTTATTGTTTTTGAAAGAAAATTAACAAACCCAAAAAGCCCTAATGTTGAGGAAATGTATATGTATTGTTAACATTCAGTGAAAATTCATTTTTTGTTCCTTTTGTTGTTCTTTTTGTGATCATTTTGTTCATATGATTTTAGAAATATAGTCTTGTTCAGTTGTCCAACATATATTTCATTTGTTGAAAGATGTGTCGTATGTTACTACATTTTAGTGATATGTTGGTATATATTCCAACAGAGTTGTCATATGTTGGAAAATATCACCAATGTGTTAGGGTAACAAAATGGTCATCTGTAGTAACATAAGATTAATCTGTGGCACATGACGATTCATCTGTGGCAACAGAATATCCATATGTGTTAACATAAGTATAAATTGCTACCCATTATTATTTTGTAACCAATTGTAAACTCTCAACTTTTTTTCATTTCCCTTGTAGATGAAACGATACAAGAAGCTTCATCCATGACAACAGTTCAATCTTTCATTGGTGTTGCTTCCTCTTCTAACATCAAATGCTCTTTTTGTCTATGCGAAGAATGTGAGCAGCAACATGATTATTTTACTAGTCGTGTTAAAGAACTCACTGATATTTTTAAGGAAATGACTTATAATATTGATGTCCATACATCCAAGAAGATTTCACAGCCTTTGATGTGTAGGAGGTTGAAAAAATCTACTTCCCAATCACTATCTATAATTAGTGAAAGAAAAAATCAATGACTACTGCTCCAGTATCACACTCAAACCCAAAAGGCAAGGAGAAGGAGAAGGAGGATGAGGAGAATGAGAAGAAGCAAGAGAGGAGAAGGAGAAAGTGAAAAAGACAGCGAAAGAGAAAGAGAAAAAAAAGGAGAAGGAGAAAGTGAAAAAGAAAGCGAAGGAGAAAGTGAAAAAGAAAGCGAAAGAGAAAGAGAAAAAGAAAGAGAAGAAAGTCAAAGTCGTCAGTTGTGATGTGAAGCAACAATATCCATTTGAAGGTTTTAACATTGACGGCGAGGGTCCAAGTGAACTAATTTCATCATTCTCGCAATAGATAAACGAGGGTCTTTACAAGCATCATGCAAAAAAGTAAAGTCGTTAAACTATTATTAGTATTTCTTCTTGTTGTCCACTAAATAATTATTTATAATGATTACACAATTGTAGAAGAGACAAGAACGATCACTACTTAGCCAATTGCTCGAATCTTGAGTTCAAACAACTTAATTTTGTAGTTGTATTTCCAAAGAACAAGGACTGGTTCTACGTAATGTCTCAACCCAATAAGTGTTGGATTGATGAGGTAAATTGATGCCCACTTTTATCTTTTCATTAAGACATGAATACATACAAATAAATTGATACATAAATACACTTGTTGATGCATCTGTGCAATATGTGGATGTCATTTTATACTATTTGCGGAAGAAGTCGAAGCAACAAAGTCATTCTAAATATTGATATACCACTACTAATTATTTTTTTCAAAACATACATTGACAATGCCAGTGATGTTCCTGAATATGAAAATAAAATCGTTGACATTATCAAAGGGTTTGGTATACCTGCTGGACTGCCTTGGCACCTCACAGATGAGGTTTATGTCCCTATAAATTGTAATGGGGAGTTTCATTGGGTCTTGGCAGTCGTTGTATTGAAGAAACGACGCATAAAGGTGTATGATTCGATGTCCTCATCTAGGACTAACAGAAAATTGTGCGCCGAGATTCAAAAGTTGTCTACAATGTTGCCAAAGTACCTTGAATCCAGCGGATTTTTTTAGCAAAAAGACCGAACCAACTCGTCAGTTCTTGAATCTTGCCAGGACAAGAACAAATCTCACCTATTCAAAGTCATACATGTTACTGTATTGCCCAACAAGAAAGCAATAGTCTGTAAATAGTATCACATTATTTTTTTAGTCTTACCACTATCGAAATGTGATGTTAATATTAGGTTTATTATATTTTCTAATTGATGATATATCATGCAGTGATTATGGAGTTTTTGTTGTTGCATACGCTGAGTTTTGATCGAAATGTGATGTTAATATTAGGTTTATTATATTTTCTAATTGATGATATATCATGCAGTGATTATGGAGTTTTTGTTGTTGCATACGCTGAGTTTTGAGTGATGGACTACAAATACCATATGATGGAATTATTTCTCAATCCCTTCGCTTGAGATATGCTTCACTCCTATGGAATTATGGGATTTTAAAGGCTCAGAGTAACATGTTAGTAACAATGAAGACCCACAGAGGCCTAGACCTAAAAAAGCAAAGTTCATAGATGAAAATGTTGTGGTTACCACCATTGATTAGATTGATGGTTATGTATACCATTGTGAATTACCTTTTTGTTGATAAGTTGTATAAAACAATTGGTGAAGAGTTCATTTTTGTTGATAATAATAATATTAACGATTATTTTATTTTTTTATTTTGTTGGAAGAAATGTCAATTATGATGGAAAGGAAGAAATGTGGTGTCTGTGGCAACATATATAACCTCTGTTGTAAAAAATACCACAGAATTATCTGCATGTTCCCCAACAGAAAGGATATATGTGGCAACATCTGTCACAGAAAGAAGATATGTGGTAACATATGTCACAGAAAGAAGATATGTGGCAATATTATATTGTCATCAATTGTTCATTTTTTATGATAATATTAATATTAATGATAATTAATATTATTTTTATTTTGTTGGAACAAATGTCAATTATGATGGAAAGGAAGAAATGTGGCGTATGTGGCAACATATATAACCTATGTTGTTAAAAACACCACAGAATGATCTGCATGTGCCCCAACAGAAAGGGTATATATGGCAACATATGTCACACTTTAATTTGAATTGTCAAAATTCCAAACAAAAAATTAAAAAGGTTTAAAACAATCGTCCCTTCATTTTTACCTCTATCCTCTCCTCTATAAAAGGTCGTTTCATATTTCAAATTTAATTTATTTTTACTAATTTCCATTTTCTTTTCTCTTCTTTCCTTCCTTTCTCTCGTTCCATTATTCCTTCACAGATCAATGTTGTAGTTGTGATATTTTCTATAACATCAGTGGTAATTTGTTGTGATCCTCTTCTACAACAAGGCGTCGTTGCCCTCATCATTTCTAGTTTATCGTTGATATCTTCTCAGATAAAATTTAATAAGGATTTTGAGAAATAATTACTGGTATTAAATCAGGACGTTTTTAGTGGTTTTATCACTTATTTGTTTGTAGGATGGTCGGATAGTTATTCCTTTTGAAATATTATCTGATTTCAAAAAGATTAATTTGTAGTTCGTTGGTTAGGGTTTAGGGAGGGTTTTGTGGTTTATTGATTGGTTCATGTGTGGTATTGAATCGTATTTGTTGTTTGTGTGGTTGTGTTTGGTTGTTGTTATTTTTGTTAAGAAATATTTAATTTTTGTGGTTGCAGATACAAATATAATGGCTCCTGTGAAAAGAAAAATTGTATTAACAAAAGAAACAACTAACACAAAGATCCAGAAGAGGCCTAGGACTAAAATTGTAGGAAGA